GCAACTGGGTCCAGGAAACACTGGTCAACTTTTTTTCAGGTGAGGCAAAATGGTTATTGCTCTTTCAGAGTCCAAGAAATTCCTTGGCTAAATTAATCCAGGTTTCTGCATCCTTTAAATTTACTGAATAGGGAATACAAACCTCTCCTGGGCTGTAGAGCACTTATAGTTTGAGAGGCCATCATTAACATTAAACCATCTCTTCGTCCTGGGCTCTTATGTCCTCACTCACATTAACCCTGAACAGGCTCAGCATCCTCAGCATCCCAGCCCAGGAGCAAAGAACAGGCAGCACCAGTCACCCGAGGTGTCAGGTAGCTCATGGAGTGGTGATCCCTGGCAACCATTCATGGAAAAAGGAGAAAGCCTGCCCTGCTTAAACCAGTGAAGTCCCTTCTTATCTCCAGAGCCCTGAGGAGCACAAATCTCAGTTCATCCCATCCAGTACCCCATCTCAACTTTTGATCCAGCACCACTTAAGGCTAAAAAAGCACTTCAAACCATTTCAAGATCCATCCTGATGATTTTGTCGCATGGACAGGGGATCTTTTGTGACCAGTGGAGGGGGCTGAAGCACGAGGGCCAGTCCATGTGTTTGTCTTATTGCCAATCCCATGGGAAGGAGCAGCTTGCTGGAAGTGCAGCACCTGAGCAGCCACAGAGCCCGAGGAGCTGAGCCCAGAAAGCACAGCCCAGCCATTCACTCATCTCATTTCAAAGACATTAAGTAAAGCCAAGCCTGCCAGCTTCCCTAATAAGCTGTTCCAATGTTTAATTGCCCACCGTGATCAGAAATAGCATCTTATTTCAAGGCCTGCTTTACGTAATTTTAGCTGCCAGGCAACAGCTCTTTCCAAGAAGGCTGAAGTGCTCCCTGTGGTCACCCAGGCGTGTCTGGGCAGAGCCCTGTCCTTGGCTTGAGGGCCCACTGAGCTCCTGAACCTGGACCTCACAGGACTTGGAGCAGGAGGATGAGCTGAGCTTTTTCCTCTTTTCCCACCCCCACCATACATCTCCTGTTCCCTGTCCTCATCAGCACGCTCCAGAACATCCAGCATGGGCTGGAGGAAGGTCTTACAGCTCTTAATGTGTAACAACATGAGAGAGGAGACAAGCCCCATAGCTGGCACTCCCTGATTTTCCTGTGGCTGAAAAGCTGAATTTCACTCCTCTGGGCAAAACAAGAGTTAACCACTGTCCTCTCTGCAAACAAAAAATGGCACCTACTTGGGCCCAGATGCCCAACTATAGTGGAGACAATGAAAGCAATTCAACAGCCCCTGGTTTACCTCATCTAATGCCAGTCCAAGTATTCCCAATAATTAGGCCTTTCAGCCTGGAAAGGCTGGAGCCACAGCTGCTTCCTATTTTCCCAAAGCTGTACAGAGCATTAGTCATTTCACTGGGGGTTTTTTATTACCCTGACTACAGCCCAGGAAGCACGCGCCAAAACCCAGGCAAGCCAAAGCAGCCTGAATTCAGAGTGTGCTTCAGGAGCTTGAAACGTTCCCCTGTCCCCTTTCTGAGTCCTGGATTTTCCTCCCCACCCAAACAGCCCAAGACTGCCTGGAGAAACATCCTGCTAGGTCTGGGTTCCCAGCATGGACCGAGCTGACCCAACGGAGCAGTGATTGCTGCCACTTCCACCCAGCTATTAATCATTAACCAGCCTTGGGAGTGACCTTGACACTTAATTAGTCATGTAGTCCTTCCTGAAGGCAAAGCTTTTCCCCTTGCTTTGCTGGTAGGAGAGGGGATGAGGGCTGGATTTAGCAAGCAGGAGTGTTGCTGTGATTTTGGAGTGCACAGAGGGCAGGGGGTGTAAGGGAGACCCATCTGCCTTCCCCCACCAGCTGTGTTGCCTGGATTGTGACAGGAAAAGCTTTGATTTTAGCTCTGGAGGATCCAGGTGCCCCTGGCTGTAACATCCAGTCAAAGGCCAGCTCCAATGTTCGGTTTCCAGGTTCTCTGTCCTCAGTCAAGAGCAGAATTTGAGCTTTGCAATTTGATTTACAGCACCTCAACCAAGTGGTGATGACCCAGCAGAGCAGCTCCAAGGCAGAAGCTGCCTTTGCTGTGCAGTGACCACCTCTCAGCCCACACTCGTGGGGTGAACTTTTCTCCTCTTCCCATGGAGAGAGGAAGATTTCCCTGGCAATGGTGGCAATAGGATGGGCTGGCCCTGGAGGAGGAAATCGAAGTTGCAGGTTATTAATGTGGGGCAGAGAGATGTGAGCTACAGCTGCTTCTCTCCTCCTTTCACAGGTAAAGCTGTGTCTGCAGAAGGAAGCAAATCCATCCCCATAACCAGTGATTTTCCCTGGTGAATTCCTGCCCCAGAGGCAGCTGACTCACACTCCTTGCCAATTTGCATTTCACCTCATGCTGAGCAAAACTGGTTTGACTGAGATAAAGGCAAGGCTGCCCCAGACACTGCTTTTGAAACCCCAAGACTCTTAACTCTTAAATCCCTTTCTGTCTTCTTTTTAATTTCCAAAAGTTTCTGCCCTTCATGATTTCAGTACAGATGGGAAGATTTCACGCCATAAATACCAGATTTCACGTCTGGACAGAAGTTGAATTATGGGATCATTAAAACCCCACATTAAATCATTAATGAAATGAGCTGTCTGATTACATAAGTCATATTCCTATTATTTCTAACTTGGCCACTGGCCGAAAGAAGCTGGAAAGTCCAAGGAAACAGACAACCTTGTCTGTGACTCACACTCCCCAGCCAAAGCCCTTAGGAGGAAGGGAGGGACACCATTTCTCAGAAAAGTGGGGTGTCAGCACTAATTGTGAGGTTTCAGATGGAGAAACGATCCCCAGGAGCAAGATCCAGGGTCCTCATTTTTAATCAAACAGGTTTGATTTGGAATCTGTGGAGCACTGCTGGCTCACAGAGGGTTCTCTCCAACACGGCTGCCTGTGGTCAGAGGAACCTCAGCATCCTTTGGGTTAACTTTTCTGGGAGAGGTTGGGATGCTGGGAGAAGCAGGGATCCAGCTGTGTCTCACAGCTGGCCAGCTGCTGGTTTCCTGAGCTGTTTGGAGGAGAGCACGACGCCTGCTGCCTTCCCCAGGGAGAAGTGTCAGTGGTGCTAAAAAACTTCACTGCCCTCAAATATAAATGTCTTTGCTGGCTTTCTTCTCAGGTTCTTCCTGTTTTGATGCTGGAAGGAAAAAACCCTAAATAAATTAAAAAGATGGCTGAGGGAAGGAGGCTTCACTTGGGTTTTTCCTTGATAGGGACCTTTTGAGTGTGACATTAAAAGAAAGGAGAAGTCTTTTGGCTAAAGATCTGAACTAAGACCATGTTTTGTATTTAGCTCCTGATAGCCCTGTACTCCAGGTCTGTAGGTGAGTCAGGACACGATTTAGAACATGTCTGTCTCCTCTGTGGACACTGAAATATCTTCCTGACTTTTAATCTGTGTGGGTGTCAATCACCTTTCTGTGAATTGAAGTGAAAAATGTCTTTTTTGTCCTTTGCTGTTTGTCTTCCTGCCTGGAAGCTCTCTGGAGGACCTGAGAGGGAGCTGAAGGTTGCTGAATGTGTTCCTGAGGCCACATGGACTCAGTCTCTGACAGTCCTCCTGTGCTCAGGAAGGAATGAGCACTTCTGGCTGCTGCTGCTGAGCCCTGCCAGGCTGTGCCTGCTCAGGTAACAGGGAGAGCTGGGGCTGTGCTCAGAACACCCCAGGAAACACCTCCATCTCCCTACTGCCTGAGCAAGGAGCCTGGCTCTGGCAGCTCTGGGCTGTGGGAGGTCTGGATGGACCAATGTTCTGCCTGTGGCAGCATTTTTTGTGCTCTTGCTTTGTGTGCAAACTCTCCAGGGTGACCAGCACTTGTTAGGACTTCACGGTGTCACATGCAGCGCTCGTAACGCGGGCAGTGAACACCTGGCAGGGATCACATCTCTGTTTTGCCCTCCTTCAGAGGAACACTGAGCTGTGTTTTCTCTGGAGGCTGGGCCTGGATTTGTGAGCAGGACTGGCTGATAGGGAAAAGGCTGATGTGGATTGTGCCCCTGCACAAACACAGCCTGTCCTGCGGCTGCTGCAGCGGAGCCGGCTCCCATAGGATGGAACTCCACGTTTTGGTGTACGGTGGTTTGGGATTTAATTTGCTTCAGAAAGTTGCCCTGTAAACAAGCTGGGTTCAGAATCTGTTTCTTGAGCAGAAACCACAGTAGTAGGAACAGGGAGCATAGCTAAGGATACTCCTTTTTTTCCCCCACAACTGGTAGATATGATAAAGGATGAATGGGAGACCTCCACCCATCAGAGGGGCAGCTGAAGACACAAAAACCATCTCAAATATTCTCAGGCACCTTTGTGTGGGCAGCCTGAAAGCTGCTTCTTCCCCATGCAGAGCTTAGGAAGATGCTGGTTTTTGTGTAAAACAGACATTCTGGCTATTGACTGGATCACCCTGTGTGCACTGCTGTGCCTGCACTGAGATGGGAGCCTGGTGCCCTGAGATACCTGTCTCAGTTTGGAACTGAATATTGGCCTCAAGTAGAAGGGCTTCATTCCTTGGGCTCCCAGTGCCCCAAGGCCAGGGGTCCTGACCTGACCTGACCTCCAGTGACTGGCCCAGGAGGGCTCAAGGACTCCTGGAGGTGCACTCATGTCTCCTCCACCCCTCATACTACTGTGGGGACAAACCAGTCTTGATATCAGGTCCAACAACCCAATGGATCCTTTCCACCTTGCTCAAATCCAGGGAAAATAATCCCCCAGCCAAACAACAGTGTCCTATCCAGTGTTTGCTGGGCTGTGATCCTACACTTTGCTTGGTGAGCATGGATAGCTTGGGAATGGGGGTTCAGCCCACCTAACTGTTAATGGCAAAGAGGCAGAGACACTTCAAAGTGTGGATTTTCTGTATTAAACCTGCTCTGACAGTAAGAGGAACCCAGCTGACCAGCACACTCACTGTTGCATCTAATCATATAATTATGTTGGGCTCTCTTCTTCCTTTGCCTTCTAGCTCAGACTGCAGGATGACAGACGGTGACACAAATCTCCCAACCATCGAGAGAAAGCTGGGACTGCAGATATGGGGCATAGAGGTAGGACAAGAGTGATGGCACATGTCCCCTGTCACATCTCCTCTGCACATCTGTGTGTTTATGTTTCAAGGAAGATGAATTCTTGCAGTAATATGTGTGGGAAAAGAGGGACCTACAGATAAGATACAGTGGGAAACAGACTCAGTATTTCCCCATGAAATGTTCCACATGTTATTGTTTTGGTTTTCTGCTCTGTAAAATGGAGATGATAATATTTACTAAGGAAACAGGGATGTGGTGGGACTGAAAGAATTCCTCCAGCACTGGAGGCTTTTCTCACCCCTTTTTGGAATCAATGCAAGGCTGCTTTTATCACGCCAGAAATTCCCTGTTTCACCAAGATGGGTTATCCATAGGTACCCTTAGTTCACACCAGCAGCTGCCATGGGGAAGACACCTATTTTTGCAGCAAAGGCATTCCATGGAGTCTATTTGTACTTCTTCCTTGCCTTTCCTACTCTGTCACTGCAAGGAGAGCTCCTGCAGCCTGTGAGGTTGCCTTTTTGCTAGTGGTGGTATCTGATTTTGGACTGGAACCAAGCTGTGCTCAATTCTGCCTTTTCCTGGCCCAATTCACCAAGAGTGGGTTTAGACTGAGGTGCAGAATCCACTCAGGGGAGCAGTGGGAAGAGGTCCCAACGTCTCCAGGTGATATTCAGCAGGTCACAACCACATTCCAAATATCACAGGGTCTTCACCTTTCCATTTCTGTCCCAAGCACTGCACTGAGCTGCTTTCCAGAGGATCTGTAATTAGAGCTGTGTGGGTTCACAGGGGTCAGGCTGGTATGCTGGGAGACAAGTCAGGCCAGCAGAAGAATGTGTGTCTCTAATTTCAGGAGCCTCAGAGCCAGCTCCAGCCCAGGAGCTGCATGTGGACTGGTGGATGGCACAGCCAGGCACCTGTGCTGGGCAGGCATGGCTGGTTAATTATGCACTTGTGCTAGAGGAAATCTGCAATCTGGAGGGGTGAGGGACCATCAGTGTCCTCAGCTCTGTCTTTTCTCAGCACTGCTGGTTGCCCTGAACCTCCAGCAGAGTGGTTATCCTAACAAAGTGCTGAAAGCTGTCCTTGAACTCACAGGCACTGAGTAAAAACTCAGTAAAACCTTAGTTTGTGCCCAAAACTAAACCTAGCATGAGATGTGCTCACTCTCCTGGGAAATTCCCTACAAATGCAAGCTCTGGAGCACTTTAGCCTGACCCCAGGTCTAAATCCACAGGATTGCAGAAAAGCAAGGAGACTAAAACATACTTGTCAGTCTGTCCAAGCAAAATCATCCTTTTCCTGTTCTTACACCTTAGTATTTTGAATATTCCCTCCAGACGTGGCATTTCCCAGCTCCCAAACTCATCCCTGATTCTTCCTTCTCCAAACCCTGATTGTCACCTCATTGTTTTTCCACCCCAGCCTGTCCTGTTTCATACTCACCAAGTTCTGGCTTTGCACTTTTAGCAATGATCCCCACTCTGATTTCCTTACAGAACATGAAGATGGTTCCTGTACCTGAAAAAGCTTATGGGACTTTTTTTGAAGGAGACTGTTACATCATTTTACATGTAAGTAATACAGCAAACACTGGTATCTGTTGGGCAACTGGTTCAGCCCTTTTTATTTAGATCTGCCTTGGTTCCTGTCCTGTGGAAAAAGCACTGTTGAAGTGGTTGTGCTCACCATCTAATCATGGATCTGAACTTCACATGGCTGTTGTGACAACACTGTCTGTTTAGTAAATCAGTTCAGAAGAGCCATTAACTTAGTAGTTCATTAAAAGTGTTTATCTTCCAGTCAACTGAGTCATGCACAGGTATGGCAAAATGACCAGTACATTCCTGGAAAACTCAATTAAGGTCCACATTTAAATTATTTATGGGAGTCCTTGGGGGATGTGGGATGTGACCAGCTGGAGGGTCTCATTTTTAGCAGGTGATGTGGGATGTGAAGATGTTCCATGTCGTGTGTCACGTAAGCAGCCCATCTCGTGTTCCCACAAGGACACTTCAGCCACACCCAAATTTGGTCCAGACCTACCTGCAGCCTGAGCCTGGGCTGGCTGTGAAGGGCTGCTGAGAACCAGCTCTGTGCAAACTGCCTTGTGTTCTCAGATTATGTGTTACCTCCTAAAATCCCTTCCAAATCTCTTCATCTGCATGGAGCAGCCCAGGTCCCATTGTACCAAACCCCATCCATATGGTGGAAACCAGAAGCATTTCCCACTTCCTGGGTCTGAGAGTGCCTCCTGCAAACCTCCAGCAATGCCTCTGGTGCCCCACAATAACCAACTGCACATCCACCATATGCCAGGATGGGAAAGCAGGCTGGGACAGCAGCACAGGATGTGTCTCCTGCTCAAATGCCCCACACATGTGCCTTTGGGGTGCCTTCTGAGTGCTGGAAGCCTGAGTTACAGGCCTACAAACACACACTTAGAGCAGAATACTGGAGTCCTTGCAGAGAGCTGACAGTGTAAATAGGGATTTTGATGCTCACAGGCTCAGCTTCTGTTGCAACAACTTCCCCAGGCAGAAGAGCCCTTCATCAGCCCACTGTTCTCCTTTTCCCTGGAAGACAGGAGGGTAAAACACTCATCATTGTAATCTGCTTCTTTACTGGAGTCTCTTCAAATAAAGATCTTCTGTGGGACAATAGGACTTTGATCATCTTCAGTAGCAATGTATTAAATTGAACAATTTTTCCACAAATTAATTATCTGTGCCTGAGGAACAGAACTGTATCTTATTCAACTCCTTCTGCTGTGTTTCACTGTGGTATCACTGCACAAAGCAAATAAACAGAACTTAGTGTCAAATCCAGCTTAGAAAATGAGCTTTTATTACCTTTCCCAGGTGTCCACAATGGGATTTAACACAGTGGGTGCTGAAAATTAACTGGCACAACTCAAATAACACTGAGCACACCTTCTTCTCAGCCTGCTTGCCTCCTTTTTCTAGGCTGCTGGGGTTTCCTGTAATAAGATAAATCCCAGCATGCACACACTGGTTCAGCTTCATTTGGAGTTATGTCTGTTTTGCAATTCAGCAGGAATTCCGAGGCAGTTTGTGCTGCTCTGTCATGTGCTATGAGAACGACAACAGGAGAGAAAGAGTAACATCCCAGGCAAATAAACAGCAGTGTGCACTGCATTTCAAAAGGTGATCTATGAGAAGAATCTGCTTTAATTCTTAATATCAAAATATACAATAGTAGGGCAAGCTGAACACATTAATTTTTGTAATTGCAAAGGTGTTCAGTTTTCCTTGATAATAGATAGGAGTTATAAAAGAATATCAGACAGAAACATCCTTCAGTTCAGTTTATAAAACCCATAAATCACTCTGCTGAATAAGGAGAGCTCCAGGCTGAGCTCCCAGGGAGTACCTGAGGCTCTGTCCTCTCTCCCCTTGCCAAGGAGAAGGGCAGAACTGGGTAAGGGCTACATGGTCACTTGCTTTTCCCATACAAAAATGGGCTGTGCCTTCATCCTGTCTTGTCCTTCCCACCTCTTCCAGACCAAAAGGACATCCCGTGGCTCCGCTGTGGATCTGCACTACTGGATTGGCAAGGATTCCTCCCAGGACGAGCAGGGTGCCGCGGCCATGTACGTCACCCAGCTGGACACGGCGCTCGGGGGCAGCCCGGTGCAGCACCGCGAGGTGCAGGGACACGAGTCCGAGACCTTCCAGAGCTATTTCCGCAATGGGATCATGTGAGTAGCTCCAAATGACCTACATTGAGGTGGGTCATGGCCCCTGGGGTCCCCTATCTACGTCTCTCAAAGATATCCATGTCTCAAAAATGTGAAAAATACGGGTCAGCCCTGATGCTGGTTAAAATTCAGAGTGAAGAGTTCCCATTTTGAGGGAATTATTTATAGCGTTCAGTCTGGAGCCGTGGCATTCTGTTCCCCTGGTCATTTTCCCAGATATTTGCAGTAATTGAATCTTAACCTCCCTTTGTTCACCTCAGGGTCTTCGTTCCTCTCCTCCACAGACTTTCAAGTGCACATTCAGAGCACTTCAGAGTAATATCCACCTTAAAGTGAAGTGTTGATTTGGCTCATGCTGGGTGTAATGTTCCTGTAGTGGAAGGAAAAATTGAGTGAACTTGTGTCATCTAAAAGATAATGTTGAATATATGATATGCTGATATGTTGAATCCAGTCCCAGGGTCTTTGCTCACTCTGAGGTTTTTGGAAGGATTCCAATTACTGTTGTCCAAGGAAGATCTTCACTGGCAATAACACCCTGAGTGCTGCTTTGGTTTCAAGCAGCTGGAGGAAACTCAGATGAAAACCCATCAATATCAATATCAATGTCAATATCCTCCATCCCAGTCTGGCTGGATCTCTCTGTCTTGTGCATCTCAACAACCTCTCATGAATCTCAGAACTTTTCTGAGACAGAAAAGTGCTTTTAGCCTCATCTTAAAGATGAGTAAGGGGCAATGAAGGATTGAAAATCCGACGCTCAAAACCAGTCTATCTGGAAAGCCGTCTGCCTCTGAAATCAGCATGAATTAGAATTCATCTGAGTCTAAGCCACATCCCTGTGGTCAGTGAGGAAGTCTGAGGCAGAATGAGAAATTAAAGCAAGCTCTTTCCACGTCTTGGCAGGTGGACTAATCACTGAGAATCCTTCTGTGGGTATCTTAAACTGGGCCAAACAAGTCTAAAGTGCTGTGAGTCTGACATTTCTGACCACATTAGCCAGTACCTTTCCAGCCACGATAAAATACATCTATTACCCACATGGCAAAAAACTACAATCAACAATTGTCTCTTTTTTCCCCTGAATGGCAATTCCTCTAAATGGCAATTGTGTCAATTATTACTGTAGTGTGAACAATGGATCTGTTTTCTAAAATGGTCTAGGATATGTAAGAGTGGATTAGACTTACCCAAAATACATTAAAAGGGCTGGGGGACTTGCTGTGGTGGGGTTGTGCCCTCTTGTGATTGTGTAAAGTTGCCACAAGAGAGGGGAATGGCACTGGGGCATGAGGTGATAGTGCTGAGTACTGCAAAGTGTGTGTTCAAGGATGGAAGAAAAAAATTGGGAGGTGAAATCTGAGATAAAGACAGTGTCCTGTACCTGTTTGCAGTTTTGTTCTGCTTCTAGCAACACTTTCCTGTCTAAGCTGCTTTTTATAGAATAACTGTTTTGAAGAAAACAAAGTTTTAGCAAGAAGTTTGTTTTCTGCCAAGGCTATTTCATATTTTAATTGAATGCTTATGGAATATTTCAATTCTGGGATGCCACTGCCATGGTCAATGGGGTTTTCAGTTTGATTGTGTTACAATTCCATTGCCATCCCTGACCTGCCTGTTCATCTCCTCCCAGGATGTTTAATGCTTGAAATTGATGACCTTGAAAGGCTTGTCCAACCTAAATGATTTTATAATTCTGTGCACAGCAGCAACACAAAACCCATAACAGGCAGACAGACATCATGATAAGGACTAGGAACAGCAGTGAGGCAACCCAACATTTGCCACTGCAATTTTAGGACTTTGAGGTTATTTTGTTTCTTGATTTTTCAGTTGTCACCAAAAGTTTGGGATGTTCTCAGAGGATAGAGAGGAAGGTATTTTCTAACCAGCTCTAACTCTTTTTTCTGTACCACACAACAGCTACAAGAAGGGAGGAGTGGCTTCAGGATTTAAGCATGTGGAGACCAACATGTACAACATCAAACGTCTTCTTCACGTCAAGGGCAAGAAGCACGTGTCAGCCACAGAGGTGAGAAGCCCTTGCTCTTCTCATGGATCATTTCTCCTTCCCTCTCTTCCTACACTCATTTTTGAGCCGATTTGCCTGGTGGGTATCTCATTTCTGCTCAAGAACTATTTCAGGACAGTTTTCAAGTCCTCACTTGAGGGTTTGGTGTTACCGCAAGAGAAGCCACTGTGCTCAGTGAAGAGCTGAGCGAGAACAGAACGAGCAGTCACTGCAAACCCGTTCTTACATCCCCAGGGACAGGTTTGCCATGGCTGTGACTTGTCACCTGCAGCTCTCCCTGCCCTCCCTGCTCTGCCAAACTCTCTCATTTCCCTGTGGCAGGTAGCACTCTCCTGGGACAGTTTCAATAAGGGAGATGTTTTCTTGCTGGACCTTGGTAAAGTGCTGATCCAGTGGAATGGACCCAGCTGCAGCATTGCTGAGAAATCCAGAGTGAGTACAGGCAAAAGCCACTTGGTTTAAGGTTTCATCTTTTTTTGATGCCTAAGAGGAAAAAAAAATAAAAATAAAAACTCAGTTGTTTTCACAGCTAAAATTTTAAGAGCAGCAACACGTAGATGATGCAAATAGTGACAAATTTTCTACTTGCCCATCTGCTGGTTTTAGAGGCTCATGAAATTGCTTTGTTCCAGTTCAGACCTGGCCTCAGGTTGCATTTCACAGGCAGCCAAGGGCACATTGTTACTTCCAGCCCCAGAAAGTCATCCAGCTCCCTCTGGAGCTCATCTCTATCCCCCTGTGCCCTGTTGTTTTCACAGCATAGGATTAGAAAGCCAGCAACTCCAGGTTTAGCTTTAGTAACCACCCCAGGGTAGATTAATTTTAATTTTTTGTTTACAGCATCAACAGGGAATTCTGGCTTGGTCAGTATGAGACAAGCAGGAATGCATTATCCAGGTGCTGATAGGTCAGATCTATAGCTCTGGAGGCACTTTGCAAAAGGATCATTATCCTTATTTTACTGATACAGGAACCAAGATACAGAGATACAATAAAGCAAGATAGAGCAGTGGGTCATCAGCAAAGCTGATGGTGGTGGTTATTATAATATTAAAAGGCAGGTGGGTCTGCTCTGTGTGTGGTATCCACTGGTGAACTGGGAGAGGGGGTATTTCCACTGGGAGAGGGGGAATCTCCACAGGGAATGCCATTTTCAGGGCACAGTGGAGATCCTATGGATACTGAAGAAGACACAAAGCAATCCTCAGTGCAGGAGGGAGAGCAGGTTCACAGCTGCTGGGTTCATCTCGGGCCTCAAGCAGGTCATTCCCTATGTCTGATAAACAGGAATCTTTCAAAGCTATTGCAGTAAGAGTCATGGGAACAAAAAAATTCAGTTAAAGATGGAGATTTCAGCCTAATTAGCTGCTTGACATTTCACACTGCTTTTTTTTCACAGAAGACATCCATGTTTTTTGAGCACTTGAATCATTTAAATGTAAAACGACACCGTGGGGTGGCTGGGGTCCTGCAGCTCTGCAGCATCCTGCCTCGGTGGCCTCAGCATGTGTTCATCTCTCCCCCAGACCACCCCATGAGACCTCTGGACCTGCTGGTGCACACTCACACACAGGCAGTGCCTATTGTGGCTCCCACGTGCCTGTGCCCTGTGGGAACAGCAACAGCAGCGACTACAATTAGCAGTATTTTCCTATGAGTTAGTTAATAATCAGGCATTACAGACATTTCTGCTTCTTTAATAGCTGAATTTGGAGGACACTAGGAGCTTCAGAGGGCTGTGCTAATCTGGCTTGGGCTGTTGGTTCTCAGTCACTGCTTGGGGTCAGGGACTGGCTGGGTTTGTGGTGTGTGTCAGGACTTACCCCTGCGGGTCCTTGTGCAGGGTCTGGCTCTGGCTCGGAGCATCAGGGACAGCGAGAGGGGTGGCCGTGCTCAGATTGGCATCATTGACACCGAGAGGGACTCCCCAGACCTGATGCAGATCATGAGGATGGTGCTGGGCGAGAGGCGTGGGGAGCTCCACGATGCCATCCCCGACACCAAAGCAGACGAGCTGCAGAAAGCGAACGTCCGGCTCTACCAGTGAGTCCTGGGCTGTGCTCCAAACCCCATCCCTTCCCACAGAGGGCTCTGTGGGGTCTAACTCAGCTCCGTGGCTCTGTCTTGCAGTGTCTATGAGAAGGACAATGACCTGGTGGTGCAGGAGATCGCCACCCGGCCACTGACGCAGGATCTGCTCCAGCACGAGGTGAGAAAAAGCCAGAGTGGCCTTTATTGTGAGAAAAGGAGGCTGTAACTCACTTTGTTTTCAGCTGAGCACCTGTTTCCTGAAAATTATCAGGCCTCCCATCTCTAGGAGAGCTTAGCCCTGCTGTTAGGTTAGGACAGCTTAGCCCTGCTACAGTCTCAGCAGCCGGAGGTAGGTGGTGTGTTGAAGCTGTTCCAAGAAGAGATGGCAAATTGATGCTCTCAGCCAAGGATTATATTAGCTTGGCAATCACAGTGAGGGAGAGCTGCATACCAGGAATAAATTCCAGATGGAATGAAGGCTTCTTAATACCTGATGTTCAGGGATAGCCTTCCCTCTGCTGACTCCAGAGCAAATAAATACTCTGCTCACGAAACCAGGGAGATTTGTTTTCGTGCCGTAGCAAGTGGCTGGTCTCATTGACCCACCCTGGAAGGAGATTTCCTGACAGACCCTCTCTGCAGAATTTTTCAGAAAACAGAAGCTTTTCCTCTGACTAAAATTTGGCAGAGAATTGCTCATCCTTAATTCTCTGCAGTGCAGACCAGCCTTTTCCAACGCTGCACTGTGCCGCAAGGCTTCCGCTCCCCTTTTCATCCTGATGTCAGCCTTGTTAAAATCTCAGCCTCCCTTTGCAGACATATGAAGCCTTTTTTCTTCTTTCATAGTTCAGTTTGAAAAAGGAGCAGCCTTTGGTCCCACTGTGCTTGGGGCACCAGCTCTCTGCAGTGGGGATGGGCTCAGCACACACCTCATCCCCTTTGGGTTTGGGATCCTGCTGCGTTCACAGCAATGCAACACCTTGAGCTCCAGATCAGAGATCTCAATGAGGACAAAATATTCATGCAGAAGATGTCTAACTTGGACCTTTCCTGCTCCTTTAGTAGCAGATATGGGCATAAATACAGGCTGGGGTTGATATTTCAGCATATACTTCTCCTGGCCCCTTTTAGGGCTGGTGGTGTTTTGGTTTGAGAACACCTCCTATGAGGTGGTAATAGCCAGTTTTGAGCAATGCCTAAGAAAAATACAGACTTTAACTAGCTACAATTATAAATCAGCAGCCTGGGCCAAGTGTGCCCACACCTGTGAGAAGCCCTGCCCTGTGAGCTTGGTGGTAGCTGTACTCCATTTATAACCCATAAGAAATTCATTCTCTGTCACCTCTGATAATGGCTGCACCAGGGTTAGAGCTCTGCAAGGCAGAGAAATGAGCTGGATATACATCTAACCTAAATCTTCAAGAAGGATCCAACCTGATTAGGTTACAAATGGTGAGCTTTTCCTGCAAGAGCTTTTCACATCTGTTTTCTTCTGTTTCCTGGTTTTTTTTTTGGTTTAACCTCAGGACTGCTACATTTTAGACCAAGGTGGCTTCAAAATTTATGTCTGGAGAGGAAAAGCCTCCAGCCCAGAAGAGAAAAAAGCAGCATTCACTCGAGCTGTGGTGAGTTGTAATAGAGTGCAAACAATGTTGTGGGTGGCTGATATATGCTGATCTAGATCTGACCACTAATTACAATTAAGTGTAGGTCTTGGGGAGTTGGCCTGTGTAATAACAGAGAGAGAAGTTAAATGTCTAGGGGAGGCATGATGACATAAACACAAAATTGTTAGGCATCAAACTGGGCTAGGACTAAGACCTGCCACTAAAACTAAGAAAAAAAATGGTTAAAGAAAATAAAGTATATATAAAGTATAAAGGGTTAAAGAAAATAACCATATATATGGTTAAAGAAAATAAAGTATAGCCATAAGTGTGGTTACAGAAAATAAAGAAAATAATTTTCTACATGGGAAATAGTGAACTTCTGGAAACTGTTGGTTCAAGGGGTGGTGGTGTCAGAGAGGATCAGCAGGGTCAAGATAGGATCAGACAAATTCATGGTCAAAAGGTGCATAAACCAATAATAAAGGGGTTCTGACATCCATGTGTTATTTTCTGTCAGAGCATTCCTCTCTTCTTCTCAGAAAAAACTAGCCTCAAGGGAGCCTGAGCAAGTAAGGTATTTGGTATTTTTTCACAAGTTGGCATGTTGGAAGTTGAGGCTATGAGGGAATTTGACATTTACATTTTGGAAAACCATAAATTTACACATTTACATATGGGATGACCATAAATGGCTTCATCTTCCATGAGATCTAGTTAGGAGATACTGAACTTCAGTGATTCCATCTTCAGTAAGGTCCTACCTGGGGACACCCAGCTTCAATAGGATTGTACCTATTGTCTCAGAGAAGATAAGCTTAAAAAACTTTGTCTTAGAACTTATCTAACTGTTCTCTGTGCTCCTAGCTTGACTCAGGCTCATTTCAGTAGGCAATCATCTCTGCAAATTCTGGCCCTGAGCTACACATGTAGAACAAAAGATGTGTCTTTCTTTCAGTGTGGCAGGTGGGAGGGAGGGGAGGACCATCTGCTGTGCTTTTCCCTGAGGGCAGTGTGTGGCTGCAGTTTTTACAGCAGAAGTTGGATGCTCAGAGAGCAACAATCAGGCTCCTTCCCTGAACCACTGCTGCCAGCACTGCACCTCGTGTCATCCTGGAGCCTTCTGAGATAAGCACAGGAGCGGTTCCCAAAACTGAGCAGGGATTTTGGCATTGTGGCAGAACACAGAACATTTTCTTCACACTCTTATTGTATCAAGCACCTCGTTGAAGTAGTCTTTTAACTCAATGGTAGCACTATTGCAAAGAAATAATATGGGTTCAGGGAAAAAAGTTTAAAAATAATAATAAAGATTTGTGAGAGTTTAGTCCCTTCAGAATAGACTTCATGCTCTGGGGATGCTGAGCTGCCTCCACCCCTTCACTCCCATGCTCCCTACCAGGCAGGGCAGTCTTCCTGGCTTAGAGAGGGACAAAAAGTTTGCAGAAAAGGAGTAAGTGTAGGGTTCAGTCCCCTAAAGACAGATGTAAACATGGATACTACAGCAAGAGTCTTCAGTTATTTTTGATTAGTCAGAATTCAAATCTTGGACTGAACCTTGCCCTGTGTTCAGTGAGGGACACTCACTTTTCAAGCTGGTTCAGGTCCACACCCCTCTTCTCATGTCTGTAAAAAGTAAAAAGCTCTCTAATGACCTTTCTGAACCCTACCAGGGTTTTATCCAAGCCAAAGGCTATCCTTCATCCACCAACGTTGAGGTGATCAATGATGGAGCAGAGTCAGCCATGTTCAAACAGCTCTTCCAGAGGTGGACAGAAAAGAATGAAACACAAGGGCTGGGCAAGGTCTACACTACAGGCAAAATTGGTGAGCACATTGGTCCTGGGTTTGTCTTTCCTACCTGTGCTAAGCTATAGCTGAGGGAACATCATTCACATCAACTGTCTCCTGCCTTCAGGGTCTCAAAAATCTAATGTGCTTTCTATTTTCCATCTTCTTCAGTAGATGGAAAGGATTCATGAACTGAATGACATTCATCTCTGCTGAATTTTTTTATATGAAGCAAATTGCCACTTACTTTAAATGTAAATGTTGTCAGAGAGTCACTCCCCTCTGAAGAATTGTATGCAAAATTTCCCACTTGCAGAACTTCTGAATTTCCTTTATAAAGGGCTAATGCTGAGCCTGATAAGGAGTTCTGCTTTCATTTACACTGGCATCCATCCAATCCCCTCCTGACGTCAGTGGAATGATGCTTTATTTACACTGGGTGTAAATGGTGTATTTATCACACTGCTGAAGGGAATATTACAATGCATTAACCTCAAAGACTAAACAATTCCAAAGAGAGAGAATTTGTTGATGAATGATGGGAAGGTGACAGAGATGCTGAACATCTCCATCAATAACAGCTTGAGAGCCACAAATCTCCTTCCCTTGCAAATTCTCTCTTTATTCTCCATCTCTGTTTCTCTCTGTGCTGTCTGTAAATACCCTTTGTTTATCATGAACTGGAGAAATGCAGGCATTTTATTTCTGAAATCAGCATTTTAAAAGGAGGGAAATATTTATGCCAAACCATCATAATAGATTTTGAGAAAAACTAAGAATTTTCAGTCAGAAGACTACTAATATTTTTACCAGCTAGCCATCACTGGAACACGCTGTGTGGCCAATTCCAGCTTGCAACAGGTCCACACTGAAATGTGTGAGCTCTTGCAAATTCCAAATTCAGTGTTGGTTTAGTGGGGGCAGGAGTGGCTCCTTGCAAGCCTGGGCTGGGTTTTACTTGCTGTACAATGGTGGTGTGTGAGGATGATGGGAAGGGTTTGTGTGTTGTCCTGCATTCACTGGGTTCTTGTTTCTGTTCTGCTGGCACTTGCAGCCAAGGTGGAGCAGGTGAAGTTTGACACCACCCAGCTCCACGCCAGACCTGAGCTCGCGGCTGAGCAGAGGATGGTCGATGATGCCTCCGGGGAGATCGAGGTGAGAGAGCTCCTTTGGCTGACAGAGGGTGCAATAATCAGCCTGTTTCCAAGCATTGCTTGGTTTGTTCAGTTTGGGGGAGACTGAGGATGGGCCTCACGACAGTTTACAGCTTCCTCAGGAGGGGCAGGCACTGCTCTCTTTCCTCTGGTGACCAGTGGCGGGACCTGAGGGCACACCTGAAGCTTCAGTGGTGTGGTAGCCAAAGGGGTTGTGCTCTGTCCTCACCTTGACTCCACTGCTGCTCACCAGGATGTTTTGTTCCCTAGGTGTGGAGGATTGAGGACTTGCAAATGCAGCCGGTGGATCCCAAGACATACGGGCAGTTCTACGGGGGTGATTGCTACCTGGTCCTGTACACCTACCTGAGGTCAGGCAGACCCCACTACGTCCTCTATATGTGGCAGGTAGGTCAAAGCAGAGCAGAGGGAATTCTGCTGTGCCTGCTGTGCAAGCCTAAAGCTGAAGGAAGAAATTGCACACAAAAATCCCAACCCAAGCACCCATAAGAACTCAGGTACCCTTTGTTCATCAATTTCAAATATCCCAAGCTGTCCTTTGTAGGTAGCATGGACACTGATCCCAAACTGGCATCAGACTGAGCAGCAGAAAAATCAGATAGAAAGACTTAAGGATGATGAGGCTTACAGTGCTGAGGTCAAACTTTGGAGTCAGATTGTCCATTAAAGCTTCAGTTCCTAGAGTTTTGTGGGTATATGAACATCTCTACATTCCTTTATAAAGTATATTTTCATGTAGAGAGAAGCTTCAAACATGGAACTCTAAAGTCTACAAAACCAGAATGCCAGTGAAATTTAAATATCTGGAAGTTTTAACTCTGATCTCATGGTATTACACACTTGGGGATTGGCAAATGTTGAATTGTGAAGAGGCTTGTACCCTTGCTCTCATCACACTGTGTGTGTCACCTCTCTGTCCCCAGGGCCGCCACGCCTCCGTGGATGAAATCACTGCCTGTGCCCTCAATGCCATCGAGCTGGACAAGAAATACGGGGACGAGGCCGTGCAGGTGCGAGTGACAATGGGCAAGGAGCCCAGGCACTTCCTGGCCATCTTCAAGGGCAAACTGGTCATCTATGAGGTAACGTGACTTTGGGAGGTGGGAGCACCAATGATGGCTTGGCAGCTGCAGTGGAAATAGTCCAATAGAAATGGGCTGATACTCAGGAAAGGAGCCTGCCAGCTCTGCATGGGCTGGCAGAGGGGATATTTCTAGTACTCCTCAAACAGTCTGAACACTGAGTAAACAGAGTCCTGGTCTGACCCAACTCAACTGTCCACCCCTGAGCTCCAGCAGTGGTGTGTGAGGTTCATTCCAACTCTGTCCCAAAATATTTCACAGAGTCAGAATAAGGTGGTCATCCTGTGAATTACCAAAGCTGCTATCCAAAGAAGGTCCTTCAAAATATCCTACAAACATGATTTGAATTGTCCTTGCCTGAATTACCTCACATAACTGGCAACCCACCTCCCTTGCTGCCTTGACATCTGTGGTGAAGAAATTCCAAATGGCTGTGGGAGAGGGAGACTGCCCTCAGCTCTCAGTGTTGGTCCCACTATATGGTTTCCATGGCAGATGTTCAGTTAAGATGAGCACAGCTGGAAATCAGGGTACAGATGCCTTGCCCAGTTTGCATGGCAAATCCTCTACAGACACCAAGATCTGGTCACATGGATCTTGAGGATCCTGATGGGAGCTGGTCAGGACTCAGTAATCAGGGAGAAATGTGGAGGTTGTGCCACGTGGGTTTCATTCTAACCTGGAATCAGAAGATATTTAGATTTCCTCGCCTGCTCAGTGCAGAACCATGGCTGATCATTGCAACAGTGAGCAGGTTGCGAGCCCAAAGCCTTCTCCAAATCAGTCAGACCCTGGATCTGTGTGTCCTCCTCACCTCCCTGTACCACCCTTCCCTCTCTGTCCTTGCAGGGTGGCACGAGCCGGGCTCAGAAAGCCACACCCGAGCCGGCGATCCGCCTCTTCCAGGTGAGGGGCACGGATGAGGTGAACACAAAGGCCACAGAGGTGCCAGCCCGAGCCTCCTCCCTCAACTCCAACGATGTCTTCCTGCTGACCACCAGCCAAGTCTGCTACCTGTGGTGTGGGAAGGTGAGTCTGCAGGGAGGCACTGGGAAGCAGCCAAAGGAATCTGAAATTGCTGAGGTGGGGCTTGAGTCTCCTGCCTCTACTGGGTCATGGAGGTGAATCCTTGGGCAGGTGTCCCATTAATTGAATGGAGAAACGGCCTCAAGTTGTGCCAGGAGAGGTTAATACTAGATATTAGGAAAAATTTCTTTGCAGAAAGGGATGTCAAGCACTGGAAGAGGCTGCTCAGGGCAATGGTGAAGCCAAAAGTATTCAAAAAATACATGGGTGTGGCACTTGGTGACACGATTTAGTGGTGCTGGGCTGATGGTCGGACTTCATGATCTTAAAGGTCTTTGTCAGCCTTAATGATTCGATGATTGTGTGAGCAAAGTGCAGCCAGGAAAGGCTCTGTCTGTGAAGGGTCAGCAGTAACAGCCCTCTCTGTTCTGGGGTTCACCTCACCTCATTGCAGATGTTCATACAGCTTTTGGATGAATAAATCATCCCAGATTTTCCAGCTGTAAGAAATCAGCCAGGATGAGAGCAAACTCATTTATCTTGTTTCAGCTGTGTGTCAGGATGAGATGGCAGATCAAACCAAAACAGAGAACTTGTGGATGTCCCATCCCTGGAAGTTTTCAAAGCCATGTTAGATGTGGCTTGGAGCATCCTGTTCAAGTGGAAGGTGATCCTGATGATCTTTGAAGTCCCTCCTAGCCCAAATCATTCTGTCATGCTGTGAGTTTTGCTCTAGGTGCCATTGGCTGCACTAAATGTCCCTTCAAGGACTAGAAATGGATTCTGAGTGATCAGCTCAAGAGCAATCAAGCAGGTCTGAAGCTCTCCAGAGGACCAAGCCAGCTTTTCCCAAGGATAAGTCTTGGAAGTCCGCCCCTAACTGCACCTCAATCTTTTATCCTGAACACAGGGATGCAGCGGAGATGAGCGGGAGATGGCAAAAATGGTGGCTGACATCGTTTCCAGACGGGACAAGCACACCATTCTGGAAGGACAGGAGCCAGCAGAGTTCTGGGAAGCTCTGGGAGGCAAAGCACCTTATGCCAATGAAAAGAGGTAATAGTGTCCTGCTTGTTCCTTTGGGCCTGGCCAGGGGACATTAAGCAAGGGATAAAAACTTTTCAGGAAAGTTCATTCTTTGGTGCTGTGTCTTCAATAAAGGGAGCATGAGGCCACAATATCACCAAGACCTTGGCCAGAAACCACACAAAGGTGTTTCTTTCCTGGCTTTTGGGCCAGGAGTTCTCCTGAAGTGGAAGCTACAGGTCCAAAGCCTGCAGACAAGGGTGTGCTACATCCTCCTTTCTCCCCAGTAAACCAATCCCATATTTCGTCCTGAGGGCTGCAGGAACCACCATTTCCAGCCATTAGCAGCAGCAGCCCCAGAAAAATCAGGAGACTAGATCTGCTTTTGACCAACATGGATTTCTCCAGCCCTCCAGGCCAGTGATGGTTTCCTTTGCAAAAAAAGGTGATCTGGTGCTGCTTTTACCTGTCATCAGGCTCATTGCCACAATGAGGAAAGGGTTCTGCTTTTGCCTTTTGGGGTGGAGAAAAAAATTACCTTTGAAAATCATTTAAAATGTTCTGAGAATCCCCTGATACCTGACACTGCTGACTTTCAGGCCTTCAGATGAGTGTGTTGCCATGTTCTACTTTTTCCTTCAAAGCCACAACAAATAGTTTCATGGCCTTGCAGTGAGCCAGGAGGGAAATATTTCTACCTTTCTTTCTTTTTCTTCCCCTGCCATGCACGAGGCAGGTTCCAGGAGCAGATCACACACTACCAGCCTCGTCTCTTTGAGTGCTCCAACCAGACAGGTCGGTTCATCATGACGGAGGTGGTTGGGTTCTGCCAGGAGGACCTGGATGAAGATGATGTCATGCTGCTGGACACATGGGAAGAGGTCAGCAAAAGCCTCCTCCCCTTCTCCTCTGACATATTTTCAAGCTGGTTATGGCTTTAGTTGGTGTTTATTGAGTTGTATCTCGGCCCATGACTGGGTTCAGCTACCTAGAAATGTTCAAGAGCTGTTACCTGAAATATTTATGCTCCGTGTCTGTCTCAAAAGAAAAATCTTCCTTGGCTGGGGGTAAATGAGGGCTCAGAATCACAGTGGCCTATTGGGAAAACACATTTCCAATCTTATCTCTGCTCCCACTGGCAGGGGAGAACAAACAGCTGTGTCTGCACAGGTTCTAATGCCTCTCTGGCCTTCAACACCTTCTCCCCATGCAGATTTTCCTTTGGGTTGGCAAAGCCTCCAATGCACAGGAGAGGAGCGAGGCAATTGCCTCAGCTAAGGAATATCTCAAGACCCATCCAGCTGGGAGGGACTTGGCAACTCCCATCATCCTGGTGAAACAGGGCTACGAACCCCTCAACTTCACAGGATGGTTCAACGCTTGGGACCCCTACAAATGGAGTGTAAGTTGCTGGAAAAGCCCTCTGGTGTTCTCAGTGGTGCCTGGAGGGTGTTGTTGTCAGTGAATATAGGATGCATGGAGTGAAACCTCACTAGGGCATGTCCTGAGCTTCACAAAATCATGGAATGGCTTGGGTTGGAAGGGACCTTAAAGATCATCCAGCTTGAACCCCCTGCCACGTGCAGGGACATGAGTTCATGGTGCTGTCTGAGCAGCTTCTGCTCCTTCACCAATAAAAAGTACCTGCGTGGTGAAACTGAGGCTTTTGCAAATGCACTTGAATTCACAATAGTAATATCTTTATAAATATTAGGTTCCAAATCAAGTTTTTGATTTCAGCCAAAAAGAGGTGGTGACTCTGGGTAGTAAAGTCAAGTTCAGAGGGAAAACAGACCCACCCACATCATAAAGGAAAAAAAAAACAACAAAAAACCAAACCAAACCAAATGAAGTTCATTGTTGGAAATGCAGCCACAGAGGCAAATTTATGACCCAGCTTTAAGGGCAAACTGTGGTGAAATGAAAGATATGAGCAGTCAGGTCTTGTGTTCAGGTTTGTGGAAAGCCCATCAGAGCCCAGGAGCTCCTGAGCGAGGTCACCCTTGGTCCCTGCACACCAGCCTTCAAATGGAGAGTTACAAATACCAGCTCCTCCCTATATAAAAACGGAAACCTGCCCCAGGAGATGACTGGGAAAGAAAAATTTCTTTCTCCCATCTTTCCCCAGGACTTCACACTGCAGGAAAACTCTTACAGAGATACTTGATTTCCTGTATCTGGGATTGCATTGTCTTTCTTCCCAACCCATGTGGTGGTGGATCCAGTCTTGACAGCTGGATCTGGAGAGATAAGACAGCAACTTGCAGTGACCCTTAAAAATATGTTGATGTTTAAAACAAAGGTCAAAACTTGTGGGTTTGTTTTATTTTTTTTTCCCAAGGAACTGCTGAAAAATAAGGATACAGCTCATAAAATATGTGCCTCTAAAAATATCCCCTGTAGGCAGCTTCAGCAACTACAGACAAGCCCTCCAAACTGTTGACATCCCAGAAACATCTGGTGTGTGTTCTTTGCTCAGTTTTGGGTCTAAATCTGTTTTCTCTGCAGTCCATGTGTTTACGTTTCTTGCTCTTGTTGGGAAACTTGGTTGGGTGATTCTGTTAAGAACTGACATCTCCTGGCTGCTTAGGAAAACACAGTCATGAGCTGTGCCAATTTATCTAGCATATTCCTTTTTTTTTTAATAGAAAATAAGAGGTATCTCGTAATACATGGCACCTAATTACAAGAAGTCAGGACTTGAGGCTTTGAAAAAATATGTTGTTTTAGCTAAATTAATCAGGAAAGTTGGAAGAAAGGAATATTATTTCAGGCATTGCAAGATTCATCAAAAACGTAAAAGATTTAAATCCAGCAGTACGTATTATTTATCTTCATTTGCCTCTGCTCTAAAGTCTTTAAATTTCCTGGTTTCACCTGTTATTGTGCAACTACAAAGGCTGAATTGTTTTGGGTTTTTTTTTCCTTTGTTTTCAAGTGAAAACTCAGATTCTGGAAGTCTTGTGATTACAGGGGCTGAGGTTTGCAGGAGCTGCCACGTCAGTGTCCATCACTGGGCTTTAAAATTCATGATCTCCTGACCCAGGAGTGTGGATTTAAGACCCAGGAGTGTGGGCTAAAGGCAGCCCATGGCTCTCACAACTCTCTCTTTCCCTTTAGGATGGCAAGTCCTACGAGGAAATGAAGAACAGCTTGGGAGACGTGTCGGCCATATCCGAGATCAAAGTGGTGAGTTGTGTCTTGGCCATGCAAGTAGGAAACACCTGGGTTCACACACCACCACATCCCCCAGCCTGTTTGCACCAAGGAGGGGACACCAGGATCAGGGCAGGGGTGGGAACTCTGGCTGCCAGCATCAGAGCTGTGCTCCTCTGTGGGAAGCAGAGGGAGATGTGATAAATTACCCATAAATACACCCAGATCTCCTGGGCCTTTTCCAGTTCTGGTCAGAGGCATCTGTGAGCAGGACATTGTCCAGCTGCTCTAATGCAGAACAAATTCAGGTGTGGGCAGCTCTAAGAGGGTGCAGTTAAGTGTTCTGTGAATAGTTTACAGTGGTGGAGCCCTTGAGACCTCAAACAAGGGTCCCCTGGTCAAGAAGGGCACAACCCAGTGGGGGATCCTCCAAAGTAAATGAGGTCCCCACAGTCCCAAATTCCATTGCCACACGGGTCAGTTCTGCCCTGGGCAGGGTCAGGATGAGGGCTGGAAGGAAGTGGCAGGTTTGGATGAGGACAGATAGCTCATCAGGGAGGGATGTGCAGGTAATTTAGATGTTTTAGACATGGTAGACATCTAACCACACCTTCTGTCATCCCACATGTGCCTTCCCCTGATGTTATCTTGAGAAGAATGAGACTGCTGTAAGTATCCTCAGTTCTTTGCAAGAGCTCTCATTAGCTTTTAGCAGTCCTAACACCAAGGTGTAGCATTTACAGAGGCACTGCACTAACGCTTTAGTTGGGACTTTTCCCCTTGCTGCTTTGGAGCTACAGACAGTCTGTGCCAGAAACAGTCCCCCACAAACCCAGCAGAAAGATCCTGGGATCATCCCCAGCTTGCTCTGCCAGAGCATCTCATCATGACGTGTTTCCCTCCATTTGGCAGGACCTGAACAACCTCAGCCTGAACAAGAGAACCCTCAGCACGGCCAGCCTGGATGGTTCAGGTACAGCAAATGCCTCCTCGGACTACAAATCCCACTTCAGCCACGGTGACAGCAACAGCTACAGCAACAGCAACAACTACAACAGCAACAGCCACAGCAGCCCTGCCCTGGTGCCCAACGGGGAGGGGATTTACTCCCGAGAGGTGCTGATGCACAGGACGGTGGATGAACTTCCCGAAGGCGTGGATCCCACTAAAAAAGAGGTCACAGCATTGCTGGTTTGATTTCTAACTGAACCTGGAACTGGCTAAAAGTGTACTTTAGACTACCAAGCCCTGCTCAGACTCAAGGGGACACTGGCAGGACACACAGGTGTCACCAAAAGCAAGAGCTTCATGGGAGGAAGTTCATAGAGCCATGGAATGGGCTGAGTTGGAAGGGACCTTCAAGATCCTCTAGTTCCAGCCCCCTGTTGTGGACAGGGACACCTTGTGGTGGTTTTAGCCTAGCTGATGTAATTATGGGGTTTCTATGGCAGGAAAAAAAAAAAGAATTTTAAGTAGTAATTTCTAAAAAATATTTTATTTTGGTAGAATTGTTTTGTTCTGCCTCCGTTCCTCAGAGGGACAGGGGGACATGGTGACACAGCTGAGAACAAAGCCAGAATTTGCATTTTACTTGAGCTGTAGGTGAATGTTTTCATTTGAAACTCCTCCCAGAAGGGATGGTTTGGGTTTTTTAATTGTCATAAAGCTTGTGTTTCAGCAATTTTCAATTTCAGGAGAAATTACACATCCCAGATTTCAAATCAGCCCAGGGATTTTGGCAGTGCCTGCAACTGAATCCAAGCAAGCTGATGAGGGGGATAGAAGATTCATTCCCTCTCCTCCCTGTATTCATTGTTTGACCAATGTCTCACCCAAAAGATCTGGCAAAGGCCAACACCCATAGCCAGAGTCACGATCCAGCTGGGCTCCACATGGGTTCTCCTACCCAAAATTCCAGGAAAAAACTCATTCCCATTCCCACAGGGCCTTTGTCAGTATCCCTGATGAGCTTCTGCAAACCTTTCCAGCAATGGGAATGAACATTTCCAGTGAATATTTTAGGGGAGGAGACTGAGAGAGGGGAAGATGCTTTCACTGTGAATCGCTGCCTAAGGAACCACCCAAAACTCTGGCCAGCAGAGCTTCCCTGGGGGACCATAAATTGTCCTGGCCACAGTATCATCAGCAGGGACTAAATTCCATCCAGAGCATGCTATCTCCTCAAAACTGGAACATCTCTTTGGGCTGGTGGGCTTTTATTCCCCTGGTGCTTTGGGAAGCTGGGATGTCCCATTTCCCACCACGAGGACAGGGAGCTGCTGGTCTGGAGTCAGAGGTCAGCACTGGCACAGTGGGGAGGAGATGCAGCTATGGGAGTGTCCCAGGCTCTACAAAAGCCAGAGCTGACCTGTCCTTTCTCTCTCTTCACTGCAGTGCTATCTCTCCGATGCTGATTTCCACGATATCTTTGGGAAGTCCAAGGATGAGTTCTACCAGATGCCCAAATGGAAGCAGCAGAACGAGAAGAAACAATTTGGACTCTTCTGAGACTGCAGAGGGCATCTGATGACTCTGGGACCAATCCCTGCTCCCTTAGGAGCTGCAGGAAAGCAGTGCAGGCATTTGCTCAATGATCCCAACCCAGCACCCCAGTCCAGTGCAGTTATTCCAGCAGCCGCTCTTCAGGGGATGGCTCCTTTCCCCCTGCAAACCCAGAACCCCCAGAGGCAAAACCTTTCACAGGAACAGCTTGACAGGATATTTTTGCCTCTTCCTGACACTTTATTGCTGATAGCCATGAAGACAAGTGTGTGCCATGCAACTTCACTGTAGCCTCAACTTTCCTCTTCCTTTTGCAAATTGCCACATGCACAAGGCCATGATCTTTCTTCATTTGTAGAAGTTTAGTCAAGACAAAGGCCATTTGTAGCTGCTGTGTAAATTCTGGGTGGGGAGAGGAGGGGGAAGCCCTAAGAGGATGGAGGGGGAGCCTTCAGGTCAGGAGAAAGATAATGGAGTAGCCAGATGCTTGATGGGGTAGTCTGTGGAATGACACCAGACAGCTCTGTCCCTTCTCACCTTGTAGAGAAACTACTCACCAAAGAACAGCAACCAGTTCCAGATTAACATTCATAGCCCAGGGCAGCTAAAACACGTGAGAACCTGGTTTGGGGAAAAAAGCACTTATGAGCATATTTATTAGCTGATCTGTCTCAAGACAATGATTGAAAAATCAGGCCAGACACAAATGTCGATTTTTGGCTGCCAGACAAGACTCTGTCTGCTTTTTTTCTCATTCAGACAGCATCTGCAATACCACCTGGCCTCCTTGACCATGGCCAGGTGAATGTCAGAGTCCACCTGCCCACAGAGCAGAGGCTTGAGGAAGCCAGGAGGGGTTTGGGTATGACCTGAGGCAGAGGGTGTCCTACTGAAGCTTTTATCAGAGCTCCATCCCTGTGATGTCCGTGGGGCTGAGAGTGCTGGTTCCACACTATGGGATCAGTCTGACTGGGGAGGGCAGTGGGAGATGTCAGCAGTGATTACAGGATGGAACTGTAAGCTAAAGGAAGAAACACCACCTTAAAAACTCAGACTATGTGGGTTTGCAGCATTACTCCATGTCCAACCTGATCAGTGATTCCAAATAAACATCCAGCAGCAGCACTGAAAGTGTCCTTGGTCAGCATGGGGGGTAGGATGGCAGCAGATAAAAGCTCTGCAGGGCCACAGATCCTTCAAACACCTGGTCATCAATAGAATTTTGGATTTTTTTTAAAAAAAAGAACAAACTGAGGAGGTGGGGCCCCTTCTGTTCTGTTCTGTTCCATGTAGCTTGGGCCATTTGTCCCACCATGCCCATGTACCCTGCTCCTGAAGCCCCCACTGCCAGTGAGCAGCAGTACCTGACAGCTCAGCAGTTCCTGACTGTCCTGACTGCCCAGCCTGGCTGCAGGGATGTGGGCATGGAGCTGGGGAGCTCCAGGCTGTTGGTTGAGGGACAAAGAGCTCTCACTCAACATCCAGGATCACATCATTGTGCTGAAGTGTCCCCATCTGTCTGGGCTGGAGCAAGGACCTCCAGGTGATGGGGTCTTCTGGATAGAACTTTGTGTTTAAGAATTGGTAGTTAAATAAACCCCAACCCCATTGTTGTGTCCCTGTTCCTACCATCACTTCATTCCATTTCTGCTTGAGGGTCCAGCCCAAAACCCACTGGAACCCCCTGTGCAGAGTAAGTTAAGCATCAAGCAGAGACACAAATCAGCTGAATTACCTGTGTGATTGCTCCTGTTGTGCTCATGTGAGTTGCAATCAGTGCACAATGGCCATGTTTCAACCTCTGTTAGCTCTGCTGGAATCAGCAATATTTGCCTTGCCTTGCTGAGGCGTGCTGCTGCCAGCTCCCAAATCCATGAATTGCATGTGCTGCTCAGTAAGATGCAGGAATGCCACCTACCTGTGAGTCTAACGTGCTTCACACAATCAAGTGAAGACCAGCCAAATTGCAGTCAGATTACACAGATTAGGCCAGTTTGCTACAAATTGGTTTAATTCCCATGGCCACCACGCACACCAACACGAGTGGAGCGCTCCTGACAGCACTCAGGGACCAGCCTGGGATTTCACAGACCATGGAGCCTTCTGATATCTGGGCCTGATGGAAACTGCTGCTGCACTCCTCCTCTGATGGGAGAGCTGCTTTTACTCCCCGCCTCTGATTTCCAAAGGAAAGATCCTCTCCCACCTCCTCCCTGTGATTGTCGGTGGCCATGTCCTGTTTCTGCTGCTCTTTTCCCCAGAGCTCTTCCCTCCAGTGGGGCTCCAGCACATCCTAATCTTCTCAGAGATGAGCTCACTTGATAACAACATGGACCACATCCCTTCCTTTGGGAAGAGAGGAGACCTTGCAGCATTGTCATCATACTCTGCCCATCCCATCTCAGCTCCTTTCCCACCTGGCTATAGTAGTTTTCCCCAGCTATTCCTACCTGATATGGGATGTTTTTTCCTCACATGAATCTTGCCTACCTTTAAGTGCAAAACAGGCAGAGGAAAACCTGGCCTCTCTGAGCAATCCATCCAAGCCCACCCTGGCCAGCTGGTCCCCCACTTCTCTAGTGCCAGCCACAGCAGGCAGGTGACGGCTTTAGCTCAATAATCCAACTGAAATCAAATCCTGCCATCCAAAAAATGCAAGTAATATGTTCACAGCCAACCCAGCAGGCTGATCTGACTTCACAGAGGAACAGAATCACAGAATGGTTTGCACTGGGAGGGACATTAAAGATCATCCAGTTCCAGTCCCCTGCCACGGACAGGGACACCTCCCACCAGCCCAGGTTGCTCAGAGCCCCAGCCAAAGTGGCCTTGAGCATTCCCAGTGATGGGGCATCCTCAGCTTCTCTGGGAAACCTCTTCCAGTGACTCACTGCTCTCACAGGGAAGTATTTCTTTCTAACTCGCCCCACAAGAGCTGGTGCTGATACAAGTGAGGGGGCAGGAACACTTCTTACCACCTTCACCTATGCTTTTCATCCTAAAACAAAGTGCTGAGAGCACACTGGGAGCAGGGACCAAACTCAGGCTGTCCCTGGGTGGAAGTCAAGGATGTTCCATCCTTGGCCTCCAAATGTGTCTCCAAGAACGTGCCCCATCCCAGAGGTGACCTGGGAGAGCCCTTGTCACTGCAGGGCCCCTGCTCTGCCTCGCTGGCCACTCTCGAGCTCTTCCATCTGGCTGGTTGTTAATGCAACATCAGCCTTTGAGAGTTGGGTTTAATTCACATTTAATCTGGCAATGGTTTACAACATCACACAGTATTGTAGTCAAGAGGAAAAATCAACGTGTCCAGCAATGTTTAGTGCAGCATAACAAACTCCAGGGAGGACTAAAAGAAACCCAGTTTTGCAGTGGGCCCAAGAATCACTAAATCCAGGCTATTTTGGACTAAAAAAATAAATGCATATCTTTAAAAGGACATTGACATCTTTGGTATGAGCCCCTCATCTTCACCACCAGGAATCAAAACTCCCAGGAAGAATTTAAGAAATTTAGCAGGTCTATCTCCAAATTCATGTATGTTGCATTCAAGTAGGACAAAGAGGCAAACAGTGAAGTAATTGAACACTTCCAGATTTTTTTTGAAACTTTTAATAGTCTAACATACTGTTAGTAACACAGTTGGCACTTCAAAATATATATTATTTTATTTCAACAATATTCCCTTAACTCTGTAGTTCTACTTGAAGACAAATCACTTGTTGCCATAAATACTGTGCTGTTTTCAAAACACTCTTGTGCTGGGTTACCTCTACAGTGCAACTGGGACCTGCTAGCACTTACAACATCTACTTCCTCTCTGTTAAAAAATAACATTTTTCTGTAAAACACAAAATTTTACTGTATTAAAAAAAAAAGAAAAAAGAAAAAAGACAAAAAGAAAAGCCCTGCTGGCAGTTGAACATGTTTCCACTGTCTTTGGCAAAAGACCTTCTCTGAGGTCCCTTTGAGTGGGTTTCACTTTGGGTCAGAGGGAAATCTGCTGTTCGGCAGCTTCTTTCTCCTTCACAGGATGAGAGCCAGGCTTTGAATGCAAAGTGGCCTGGCTGAGAGCCAGGCACACAGGCAGAGTAGTGCTCATGTATTTTTTATTACAACACAAAAGGAAACTCGGGTTACATAACACGGGGCTTTGTAGTGCAGCTTTCTTTTTTAATCTGTAACAGAAAGGAAGGGAATTGTGTCCCCATTTAGGACTTCACATGGTGAAAGATGGCTGACACCTGCAGTTGCAAGAAGTCATCTGGCTCCTGGCCACTGATTGCAGTGCTGAGGGAGACTTTTCCTTGCACAGATGTTGGGTGCTTTGCCCAGATGCCTGACCGAGCCCAACCCAAGAGCTGTACTTCACTAAAAATGGGTCCCTATCCTCTCGCTAAAAGCAACATTAAAAAAAAAAAATAATCTAAATAAAGTGAACTTAAACCACAGCTGGATTGGTCAGACAGGTACAAAAGGATTAATCTCAACAGCAGCATTAGGATGTTTCCAGCACGCAGCAGGGAGAAGGTCGACGGCTGTTTCACATCGGGGGGTCCTACAGAGCACCGAGTGCTGCTCCAGGGAAGGTGCTGGGGACTGACCCTGGCACTGGCAGGGTTCACACTCTGAATTCCTCCCAGGTCTGTACAGAGGCTCACTGTGGCCTGGAGAAGCCAGGCTGCTAATCACAGTCCTGGATATTGATGTAGACAAAGAGGGTGGAGGAGGAGTACGGGTCTCCATTCTTGGTCAGGAGATGGATGTGGCGATAACCTGGAAGCAGAGACACGGATGGAAAATGGCTTTTAGTCCAGCTGGAAAAGCAGTCACTGATGTTTGCCAGGACTCTGCACAAACATCTCCCTGTCTCAGAGCATTTTGTTCCCAGTTCCCCACAGGATCCTGAGCAGGCTGGTCCCAGAGGCACAACTCTTACCGTGGGCAACATAACGTGCCCAAGGCCTCTGGTGACAAGGGGGGCCCTCCCCTAGAGACAGTGTTAACAGCTGCCCAAAAAATCCACTCTGACCTGAGCTGTGATGGATCTGGACCACTCCACCAGGACACTGGAGCTTCTCAAAGGGCTCAGTGGCTGTGAGGAGCAGGCAGCAGGGCCTTACCTTGCTTCAGACTCGTGAAGGGAAGGGTGTACTGCCCAATGAAGTCATTCTTGGTTGACATGTCAAAGTCTTCCACCACAAACCGGACCAGGGCAAGTGCAGGGATCTCTATGTCAAATGTAAACTCTTCATTCCAGTTTGGGTTAAAGCCTGGGGAACACAGACAAGGATGGAAGTCAGAGATGTCAGCATTAAAAATGGTGGTCTGAGGTGTTTGCAAATGGTGTTTTCCCGACTGTAAACCCAATCTGACCTAGGCCAAGGCTCTCAGGAGGTGCCAAGAGCCTGGTTCCCAGCTTTGAAACTGTGATTTGCTATCTGGAATTAATAAATCCTTCAGCTTGGGCCATTCACTGCAGACCTTGGTCCTAGAAAGGATTGAGGAGCAGGAGAGGAGAGGAACTCAGCTCCACAGGCTCTTGCTGGATGGCACATGGATGTCTTTGGCTGCCATTGGACCAGATACAAACTTTTATAGCCCTAAACCAAGGGAGGAGAGAGAAGCAAGCTGTGATTTTGTGTTGAGACAGCCTTCTGGGGACTTAAGCCTCTCCAACTGTTTGAGATACATCCATCTAAGCACCATTCTGTGTCTTCCCTGTCTGCAAGAAAAGTTAATGAGGGGTGTCTGATTACAAAAAGCATCATCAAGTCTGGATAAGGGTCATGTGGTTCAGAATCACAAAGCAAACAAAACTGAGACCGACACAGATGAAATGTAGAGCAAGCTCAGTGCCCCCTCTCCAGGCCATGGCAGGTGCAGTGTCAGTAAACCACTCCCCAGAAGCAAACAGGAGAGGACATCCTGTTGGAAACCCTACTGCCTGTGCAGAGCAGAGACCAGGGACAGCAAAATGTCACCTGGAGCCTGCTGGTCATGCAGGGTTTGTGAGTGATTCAGCAGGAGACAGATATTTTGCATCTGGCCCTGAAGGTGCTGAGATGGGCCTGTGGTGTCTTAACTGTTTGATTTGGGAAATGGCAATGAGCTTTAGGAGCCAG